GAACTGGGGAAGCCCAGGGGAAGATGCCCACATGGACCTGCAGCTCTTGGGGAAGAGCCACAGCCACCACCCCACACAGGGAGAACAGGGAGAACTCAAGTCTCCAAATGCCAAAGGTTTCCTAGAAAACACCAAACAACAGGAATAGAATAATACATCAAATTCTGTCAAAGAAGCAAGGACAGTCTAAAGAATGCGGTTAAACAGGCACCAACCTGCTGAGCTCTGATTTTTAATCACATATCTTGTTGTTTTTACTGAAAGGTAACATACCTATGAAAACCTGTATGCATACCCTAAGTGTACAACTCAATGAACTGTCACAAATGGAACACACCAGTGTGGACAGCATTCCGATCAAGAAACAGCATCACAGCACCCCCAGAAGTCCCTCCCCATATGCCCCCTTCAAGTCACTAACCTACCCGAGTAACACTAATCCTGATTTAACAGCACAGATTCATTTGCCTGTTCATATAACTTATATAAATGGAATCATACACTGTGTGCTATTGTGTTCATCATCATGCTTGTGAAAGTCATCCCTAAGGCTGCACGTAGCTGTAACCACTCCTCCTCACAGCCATACATACTCCGTTACAGGAAAGGACGTGCCACTATGAGCATTCCTTTTATTAATGGGTACAGTTTGGAGCTATTAAGAACCATGTTGCTAAGACATGAACAATGAAATGCATGTCTTCTGGTTGATGTTTGTGCGTTTCTGGTGTATCAGTTTACACTTCCACTAGTGGAGCACAGGAGCTCTGGCTGCTAGGCGGCCTGGCCAGCGTTGGCATCTTTTTGACTTTGTTATGTTAGCCATTCGGTGCATGTATGATAGCATCACTGACATATTTTTTAAATGTATTTCATTTGTTACACTTTGTTTACTTCTGAGAAGGAAATGAAGTCAGCTTATAATAAAAAGACATATTAGACAGGAGCAAGTTTTAAAGTTTTTTAAATGGCAAAACTGTAAAGAAAGAGGGCAAATAATCACACCAGAAACCTATATCAGGATATTAGTAATTGTCACAATTCAGCATAAAACTGGTATTTCTGAAATTTCCAGCAGCTAATAGCAAAAGTGACGTGTGACAAGCCATATACCTTTCAGTCTCTAGTAAAAGGAGTTTATAACAAATGGTCAAAAGGAATCCTATATGGAGGTTTAGATCAGTGTTCACAACATAATGGATGTTTTTCAACAGCAGTTTTATAAAGATACAGAAGTACTTTGGGTAAGGTTCTCTGATTTCTCAATGCATCTCTGTATGAGGTTTAGACATAACAGTAAATTGTGATTTACTGAGGTAGCTCTTCAATAACTAAGCTTCTTAGAATGAATTGCCAGAGGGTATCTTGGACTTCCTCTTTTAAATATCAGTTGTCTCAGGAGCCTTTAAAAAAAAATACTTTTCACTTCTGATTATAAAGGTAGTAAAAAGCTCATTATTAACACACACACACACACACACACACACACACACGCAGGGGCACCTGGGTGGCTCAGCTGATAAAGCATCCAACTTTAGCTCAGGTCACGATCTCAAGGTTCAGGAATTTGAGCCCCACATCGGGCTCCGTGCTGATGGCTTGGAGCCTGGAGCCTGCTTTGAATTCTGTGTCTCCCTCTCTCTCTGCCCCACCCTCCCCCCCTTTCTCTCTCTCTCAGAGATAAATAAACATATTTTGAAAAAAGAAAAGAAGAAATCAAACAGTAAACCCACCACCCAAAGATAGCTTTCTAGAGTTTTCTATAATAAAAAATATTAATCAATACTTTTAATTCATACACTTTTTCTTTTCCTTTTTTAAATCAATAGCAGTTTGTGGTATTTAATATATTTTGTGACTAGTTCCTTATTTTAACAGCTACAGAAAAACTAATCTATTTATTTAACCAGAACTCTACTGAAATACAGATTACCCACAACTTCCTGCTATGAAAAACAGAAATCTTTGTACATTTCTAATTATTTACTTAGAATAAATTCACAGAAGTAGAATTACTAGGTCAAAAAAGAACATGCACATAAAGGCTTTGCTACACCACCAAACTGCCCCCAACACTGAAATCAATTTACACCATTAAACTGTACGAGAGAATGTATGCCCTTGCATCTCACTGACCTTAGATGTTATTTTTCTTGTGGGTATTTTCACCACTTTCCAGGTTAAAATAAGACATTTCTAGGGGCACATGGGTGGCTCAGTTGGTTAGGCATCCGACTTCAGCTCAGGTCATGATTTCAGTTTGTGAGTTTGAGCCCCATGTCAGGCTCTGTGATAACAGCTCAGAGCCTGTAGCCTGCTTCAAGTTCTGTGTCTCCCTCTCTCTCTGCCCCTCCCATGCTCGCTCTCTCTCTCTCTCAAAAATAAACAAACATTCAAAAAATTAAAAAAAAAAAGACATTTCTTTCTGAATTCTCTGACCCTTGGGTTTATAAGCAAGGATAAAAACCAAAGTCCGCCGGCCATCTGAATTTCTTAATTTGTGAAGTGCTATGGTGTTATCCTTCAATTCAACCCAGATATATTTATTTCAAGCTTAACTGTTTCCAGGCACACTGTTGGGTACTGGGAATACAGAAATGTACAAAAATGTAGAAAAATCTTAGGTGACATCCCTCACAAATCCCAAGGGTCTTATGTATTAGCATTCTGGACTTCCTGAAGAGCGCCACCCAAAACAAAGCTCTGCCTATTGGCATTCAAGGTGAGCTGTTCTGACAGCAACTTCCTCATTGACTCCCCCAGTGAGATCACATCACCTGCCTTCTTTAGCAACAGTGGAATGACATGTACCAAGTTTAGCTGAGATGTGTATCAAATTATTTGGGAAGAAGTCCCAGAGAAAATAAAATAGATACAAAAGATGAAAGGAGAGAACCTCAATCAAAAACAAACAAGAGTCCAAACCCATGTAACAGGGTCAGGGTGAACTAAGCCTGGGGGAGAGCTGCTGAGAACTTTGGTAAAGGCCTTCAGGGGGTGATGCTCCTATAAAGATGAAAAGGAGAGGTCCCCTGTCTGAGAAACATGGTGCTCTTTGTTTTCTGCATTCTTGATTCCAGGTAATTCTGAAATAGCAAAGTCTAAAGCACAGATGATTAGCACAAGACAGGATCAGCAAGGCTGAGCTTGGGGCATCTGTCTCAGACCCTGTGAACTTGAGGACACGGGCAGAATGCTGGCCAGACTTTCTGAGGACAAAGCTCTAGGAAATCTTCATACGACAAAGAACAGAATCCAGATTCAAACTCAAAAGATCAGGAGAGGCTAGACCAAGAAGTCAAAGCTGCTGAAAAGAAATTCAAAAGCAAAGTGTTAAGGTCTGAGCAGAGTCTAAGAATTGTTACAAACCAACCAAAGAAGCAGAGAATGAAAAAGGCCAGACTCAACAGCAGTTACGGTGGAAAAAGTCCAAGGAGTCCTTACCAGCAGGCAGCACACAAGCCGACAGGTGAGGAGGCTGCCAGAGGAGCCAGCTGTCTGGTTCCAGCAGCACCTGGAGGGCCACCTACTCCTTCTGCTTGACAAGCAGCCGTCCCCTCGGCCAGGCTGACACGGGCAGCCACAGAAAGGAAACCCAGGAGCCCGAGAGGCACAGAAGCCACCCCGAGGGCCATGTCAAGGAAGAACCTCAGAGGGACCGAGACAACGTTTTTAAATATCTGCAAAGCTATCACATAGGTACAGAATAAAAGTCACTTCAGGGTAGTCTGGAGACAGAAAGTGAAAAAATAAGTAATATGAACGTTAACAGGTGCCATTTGTTGAGCGCCTATGATGAACAGGCACGATGAATGATTCCGAGCCTGGCTGACCTCCAGAGGCCCCCCGGGAAAATGGGGACCGCAGGCACCAGTACAGAGGTGGGGCGGGTGAGGCCGTGCATGTCAAGACCGCAGAAGAGGGCCTACACGTCAAACCTCTCAGGAGACGGTGCCCGTCAGTCCACATAAAAACCCTCACATGAACGTTCACAGCAGCATTATTCATAAAAGCCCCAAATGGAAATATCCCAAATGCCCATCACGCAATGAGCAGACACACAAAATGCACTCCACCCACACAGTGAACCATCATGCAGCAGAGAGAGAATGAAGTGCCGACGTCCTCAAGAGCACAGATGAACTCTTGAAAGTACTATGCTTCAGGAGAGAAGTCAGTCACAAAAGACCACACATGGTAAGAATCCAGTCACATGAAATGTCCCCAACAGGCTAATCCACAGAGACAGAAAGAAGGTGAGTGACTTCTCAGTCCCTCAGGGACGGGGGAGGGAGGAATGGGGAGTGGCTGCCCCCAGGCTGCTTCTAGGGGATGTGAGGTCTGGCTCAATAAAAGGCTGCTTTTCAAAAGGAAACCATTACCACCTTCATTTGATCCACAGGCTTTGTGAGGCAGCTAGTTTACAGATAAGAAACAGAGGAAACAGAATCTGCTCACGGTGCCAGGATCTAAACCAGCTCAAAGCCATACTCCCGGTCACTGTGCTGGTTATACCATGGAACAAACGAACGGAAGGAACAAAGAGGTTGATTTCAGTGGGGCACAAGACTGGGAAATCTAACCCTGCAAGCTGCACACCGGGTGGGCCCTGTGAGAGCAGTGCCCGAGCCTCACCACAGGTCCCAGCGGAGCCAGAGGGCAGACCACAAGCAAGTTGAAGGGGGTCCCACCTGTTCGGCTACCGGGACGGTGCACCTGACAACCTCTTCCTGACCTTCCAACTGGAAGGCTACTCTTTATTCTCTCTGTTCTGAATCTCAGAACACCACAAAGGCTTTCTAATTTCATGTTGTTCCTTTAAGCTATTCTTGGTTCCGTATATTTAAGAAATTATGGTTTCTCTATAGTTTTTAAAAACTGTGCGTGTCTGCCCTTGTCCCAAATAACAGGATTTCAAAGCTGACATTTATTTCAATCATTGGCAGAAGGCTGGGAACTAAACAAGCCACGGAGACACTGAGGGCAGCTGGCATACTTACTGTAAAGTTCATTTCCTTGATGGCTAGCTTCAGGTGTTCGAATCCCACAGTCACGGTATACTGAGTGTAATTCAAGTAGCCGAGGTGAGCCACAATAATTTCTGCACACTTCTGCAAAGACACAAGGAAGAGCTGTGTTTTTAAAGCAAGCAAGGTCGGCTCCCCCAGCAATTGACCCATGAAGTAACACATGGCAACGACACAGGAGCACAATGAACCACCTCCAGGGAACTTGCCAGAGCCCAGAAAAATTCAGACATCAGCCAAAAACAATTCTTAGAAAGAAAGAACCAAATGGGTATTTTTGGAAACAAACAAACAATATATGGTTTATAATCATTAGAATCTTTCTACTTTGGATGATTCAGAACAGTGTCACCCGCATAAAAAAGGTAACTACACAATGCAAACCTGACGTTCACACAAATACAATAGGGTGGGGTGGGGGGTGGTGTAAGCCAAGACACAACAAATCAGACCCCCCCCCCCCAACTCTCCTCCCTGCTCACTTCCACAGCTGCTGCACAATATACAGAGTGGACTGCATGCCTCCTCGCCCCAATGCCTGGTCCTTCCTACGCAGAGCCCCTGTAGTCTCTGTTAGGAGGTCAGGCCCACACCTAAGACAAAGGCTGTGGGAACAATGGCTAGTGTGATCACACAGGTGTGTGTGCTCATCTGTCGGCCAAGAGCCCCCCCCCCCCCCCCGTCTTCTGTCTTGTACAACTAGGAACCGGCTCCCCTCTATTCACTGGGGGTGGTGGAGCCCTCACTCCGGATGGGGATGTGTACTCGGTGGCCAGGCAGGCAGTGACGTTGGCACAGCCACGCCGCCTGGCACACCCCATCAGAAGTTCTCTCCGTGTCTGACAGCCCAGTCTCTGGGTGGCACCTGTGACAGCTGTGGCTTTGAACAGGGCAGTCACCCCTACCACTGATCAGAGACTCCCCGAGCTAGGAATGTCTGAGGTCAGGGTAGGAAAACAGATCTGGGTGTTCTTAAGAAGCCTTCAAAAGATACGAGGACAAACTGAAGGCAGGGGTGCTGACCTCAGGGCCGGGGAAGAAATCAGAAGAAGGTGGTGTGCATGCCTTGCCTGGTCTCAGCAAACCCAAATCCACCTTTTGTTCCTCAGAGTCGGGTCACAGGAGGATGCATGGAGAGAGGGGCAGCTAAGTCCTGGGCGTGATCAGGAATGGAGAGGATTGCACTCGTGAAGGTATTCATGTCGCCCAGGTGACCACTTCTTACAAATCTGGACTTTCAGGGGACGTTTACGTTAACAACACAGTTACACCTCAGGCTGTACATATCTTCAGGTTTAAAAAAGCTATAGTGAGCCCACCTGACGATCTGGGAGGGCGGGGTGGGGGTCTGAGTTCAAGCTGTGGTTCGAGCACCGATTACGATGTGCTTGTGCAATCACTTGATGAGAGCACAGCAGCCTGTCACCCGCCCGGTGCGGACCACTTGCTACCCGAGGCAGACAGCGTTTTCTCTTCACATCAAGACAAAGGCAGCGTAAAGGGTGGTTGATATCTCTACAACATAAAAAATCCCATCTTTTTTTTAAGTCAGGGCAATGCTCCTGGGAGAGCTAGGGTGGGACCTGCACAGACAGAACAGAAGAGAGAAGTCCCCAAGGCGACACAGCGTAAACTGAAGTAGGGCCACCGACAGGAGAGGGGAGACACCACGGCGAGGCACAAAGGGCCACTGTCAAGGTGCACAGTGTGGCGGGCAGTGCCACAGCAGTGCAGGCAAGCAGCCTCGCAGGCGGCCTGGCACTATACAAGGTGCCCGAGTCTTCCTAGTTGGCCTGAGACCTTCCCCAGTTTCAAAGGGAAAGTCCCCCATCCTGGGAACTCCTCAGTCCTCGCAAACCAGAAAGATTAGTCACACCAGCCTTAGGACGAAGTCATTGACCGCCTGCTCGGTGCGAGAAAGAGCAAGGCCAGCTGAGGGCAGACTCCAGCCTGCCCGGGGGTGGAGGCAGGGCTGCGGCCTGAGCAGAGGTCCTTTCAGACCCCGGATCCATCATCCCTCCCATGTACTGGTGAAGCTAACACAGCACCTACTGGACACAGACACGGCAGGTGCAGGGCCCCCATGGGCACCGACACGCAGGCGCTCACATATGATATTCGACTTGATCCTCGCCACTTTATGAGGATGGTCAGGGAAGGCGTAACCCCACCCTGCAGTCAAGGAGAACACGTTACAGGCCGGCCCAGCCCTGCTCCCGTGGGTGATTACAGAGGAGGCAGAACGAGGGTCTAGTCACTTGTGTTTCCGGAGCAGCACCTGCCAGGCCCATGAGGCCGACCCAGCGGGCGGAGCTGCCACGCGGTCCCAGGGAGCAGGCCCTGGCAGGGAGGAACCATAGATGCGGGCCAGGAAACCACAGACGGGGGCCAGCCATCCAACAGGAGCCCTGCCATCTGAATCCTTTCCTGCCAGGACAAACAGTCCTGCTCTTCACTCTTCTCAACCGGGCGGTGCGTGGTTGCTAAGGATACACGCTGCACAATAACAAACCACGAGCTGAAATCCTGGCCCCCCGTCACTAGTGTCACCTCAGGCAAGTACTCTGACCTTGCAGAGCCTCAGTTTCTTACATAATTTGGGGCTCTGGTAACAGTGCCTGCTCCGTGGGCCTGCTCTGGGGACTCAATGAAACCTGACTGCATGGAAAGCCAGGCATGAGGCCTGTCGGGGGAACCACTTTCCTAACCCTACACTCCAACGCATTCTCTTTTCTGATGTTCCCCATGTTCTCCAGGCCACCTGCTGAGTCCTAGGGAGCTTCTCAGCTCTATACAGAGGGGTTCTGGCTCTGATTCTTGGGATTCCAACTGAATATAGTGCCAAAAAATAATTGAGGGTGAGGGTTCCTTTCCCACTTTGGACTGCCAGGTTTCCTAACCCATAACCACACAGTACGTCCGAAAGGAGACACTCAAGCAAGCAGGCTGCTCTTCCTAAGGGGCCTGGGCCTCAGCCCCCACAGGTGGATCAGGGTGTTCATCACAGGGCTGACGCCCGAGACCCCAGCAATTCGGAATGACCACGAACAACGTCAGACTTCAGAGACGACAAGCAGCCTGTAAAGAGTCACCTGTAGACACCAGGCATCATATGTGGGTTCACGTATCATGTGTACATGTGTGTAAGTTTGTAAGAATTTCTAAGGGTATCAATGTATAAAGTTAGGTGCGTTTTCCACACCACCATTGGTATAACTCAATGCTTTCACTTCAGAGAGCACATATGTAATAGTGCAGCAGTGATGCACTAATAGTGATGAATAATCACTGACCAATCAAATGCACTCACCCCCGCACAGGTGAGGGTCCTTGTCCGATTGTGAACTTTGTTATGAATGAACATGGTGGTTCCATCTTGAGCTACACCATCAACTTTAACAGTCATGAGAAAGCTTGTCTGAATAGACGTTTCTACAAAAGAAAGAAAGTCAGTGTCAGAGACCATGTCAGGCACATCACACTTGCAAAGGTAAGAGCCCAGGAGGGTCCTTTGACCACCTCAGCCTTGGCACATTTGAAAACCTCACACTTGTCAGCGAAGTAAAACCTTTCCATTAGGTTCTACTTCCAACCCATTGTCCAGGAACCTATGTGAAAACCTTCATTCCAGATCCATCATTTTTGGTTCACAAAAGGGCAAGTATTTGATGGCTAATGAAATTTTATTTTTTATTTCCCCACATAAATGTTTAACTTCACTTTACACCACAATAAAGTTAGATTTATTTTTCTGTTTATATAATTTATTATTTTGTCTTTATGTCCACTGTTAAAAAATCAAGGAACAAAAAATACTAATCCTGGGGCACCTGGGTGGCTCAGTTGGTTAAGCATCTGACTTTGGCTCAAGTCATGATCTCATGGTTCTGTGCTGACAGCTCAGAGCCTGGAGTCTACTTCAGATTCTGTGTCTCCCTGTCTCGGCCCCTTCCCTGCTCATGCTCGCTTGCTCACTCTCTCTCTCTCAAAAATAAACATTAAAAAGAAATAAAACACTTATAATTCCATCGCCAAGAGGTAACCATAATTAACATGTTGTGTCCATCCTTCCAGACCATTTTCTAGACATAAAAATACACAGTGATGCCAAATTTATTTTTGTTTTTTAAAATGTTATAAAAACTGTGGCGCCTGGGTGCCTCAGCCGGTTAAGCTTCTGACTTTTCGGCTCAGGTCATGATCTCATGGTTTCGTGAGTTCCAGCTCCACGTCAGGCTCTGTGCTGACAGTGTAGAGCCTGCTCGGGATTCTCTGTCTCCCTCTCTCTCTGCCCCTCCCCCACTTGCGCTCTCTCAAAATATATAAACTTTAAAAAAATAATGAAATGTTATAAAAAAGGATTAAGGTTTTTGTAATATACATTTTTTTTCATTTAATTTACTGTGGTCATGGGGTTATC